GTGGGGGGAGGCCGGCGGCGTGTGCTGCAGCATCGCCCCTGGAATGAGCGCGGCTGGGAACATGCGAAGTGACAGAGCTTTAAAAAATAAGGAGAAAAAAAGGAGAGCGAATGGCTTCAACCTGTGTATTTAAATCTCTCTTCCTTCTTTCTGAAGCAGTGAGTATTAGCAGCTTTATCATGTGCTTGTCTAAAACATCCAATGAGAGTTACTTTTCTCAAGAGAAATTGAAATATTTCTGGTGATGCGTTTTGCTATTTCTTAATTATGTTTTTGTCTTGGAATAGGGAAGCTCACATAACTCCAGTGTCTTTGCAGTGAGATGAAGTGACTTTGATTTGTTTAAACTGGAAGATGTGGAGTGGACTGTTACCTCCAGGGCTGACCGAAAGTGATGTTGACTTAAGTTCGGATGATGGAGATGAATTGCATGGCTGCTTTCCAAAGGCAGATGCAAAAGAAGATGCTGAAAGGGTTCAGCTTTCTGAATGCCAGAAGAATGGACCTGAAAGTAATGCAATCAGTGAACCCCTTTTGCTGTCGGTGACAGATGGAGAAAACGAATCTCAGATGTGCCCTCCTGGAATTTCCTTAAATATGTGGAACGTGGGTATTGTTACAGGTCTCCAAATGTCCAGAGCGTAAATGCAACATGCTCAAAGTTCAATGGCTAACTTTTAAAATAACTTGAATAATCAGTATACAAATCTGAAGTGAAATAAAATTTTATCAAAGTTCAATCATCGTAATATACTTTAGATTGTTTCAAGCAGAGTGATCAGGAATAGAGATAGGAAGTGAAAGTCACTTTTTTTTTTTTCCCTAGTGCAGTGGTGATTGAAAGCACAGCAGGGAGGTATTTGGGTGACTATATAGTTGCATGAAGACATGTTTTTAGTAGCGTGTGGACTCTGAGCTTCTTCATAACTGCTTTCTGCATGATGAAGGATTTAGAGCAACATGCATCAGCCACCGTACCGTTGCTGTGTATCTGGGAAGTCGAGGTGTGTGCCCTCCTGCTTTCTGCAGGGGCTGGCTGTAGGCATTCGGGCTCGCAGTTGGTTAGAACATCTTGATTTTCCTGCTGTGTGCAAAGATGGAAAAGTAGTAAACAGAGCAATCTGTCTTTTAGGCTTTTGAGTTAAAATAAGAATTGGCAAAAACTAGTTGCAGTCCTCCATCCATTGATGCAGGTGGGTAGCCTGCTGTGCACGGACTATGCTGTCAGTAATACTGGGATTGATAACTACCAGCTAGGGAATAGCAGTACCTTGAATAGCTCAGGAGTATGCAGCCAGTATGAGTGTATTCAGCTCGTGTCCCATGAGAAAACTGCCAAGTTTTAATAGTCCTGGGATTTAGGGAGGGCAGGAGAGAGAGGTGAAAGACTAGGGCCAATTCCAGTTTAACACCATCAGAGCTGGATGTTCTCAATGCACACATTGTAATGTAATAGATATAACAAGGTACTGTAGATAAACAAGATATTGGGACAATGTTTCTTAGCACGTTAATGTAATTTTTAAAAAAATGGGGAAAAAACATTAAAAATACTGATTTACCTTTTCTTAATCTTGTAGAAATTTGTGGAGCTTCAGAAGAAAAACCGTGAAATGAAAACCCAGGCAAATCAGGGAAACAAAAGTCGTAAAAGAAAGCGCCACAGAAAAGGTATTCTGTATAATTACAGAATTTATTTTTTCAAAGTGGAATTAGTATCAAATGCATTGGAAGTGGGATTTGCTGGGTTTGGGGTGGTTATGTTGTGTTTTACCAGGAATTGAATGTTTGAGTAGATGTGTTTTAGCTGTTATTTAAGATTTTGTTTTTCCAGTTGTATACATTACTTGCAGGAGTAGGTTGTAAATTGCTACTTGAACTTTCAAGTAACACATTTGTCCTCTTCTTAAAAAGAAGGTAGAACTTATACTTAGCCTTTATAAATCAGTATTAACTGAGTATTTCAGTAATTCTATAGAACATACTTTTGTGTATTCTGGTTAAAACTTCATGGATATTGTAGGAGGTTCTTTGTGTGAAAAGTCTTACAGCTGCGTGGTTTAAATCCACATGATCATTGGGTAAAAATCCAAGTGTGTCAGTCTTTCAAGGGAAATGTGACCAATTAGAGTTCTGTTAGCTTTATTGGATGCTGCAGGGTATTGCTGTGTAATGTGGGGTTTATTTATTTTTATTTTTTTCCCCCCTTAGAAAAACAGAAAAAGAACGATGAAGTGCCTAAGAGGTATAACCAGGTCAATGTGATTATCCGAGGTCTGTTTTTAATATCGGGCAAAAGTGTAAAAAGCTTGACTGCATGCATGGCCAAAGCATAGCTTGGAACTTGGTGGAAAATATCTGCTGGAGCTGTTCAGTGTCTCTGTCGGGCAGGCTGGATTTGATACCAGTGATTGTTTGATAAGATCTGATTGCATCATTTTTAAAATCAACACAAATGTGTTATTGATGTAACTTAGAATGGACTTAATGTTATTCCTAATGATGTTTTCCATCTAATTGTATACAAGCTCCTGTTCAGCCTGCTCCTCTTCTTTTTCCTCTTTGGCAGTGTTAGGTTAATGGTTGGACTCAATGATCTTAAAGGTCTCTTCCAACCTAAATGATTTTATGATTCTGTAAGTTTGCTTTCAGGATTGTGGAATTATACTGCCAGAAGGGAAGCAATAATTAATTTCACTTCCATTCAAAACTGTGAATGGGTGAAAAGAGCATGTCTGCCAAATAGAAGAATTTCTTTTAGTGTTGAAAAGAATGTTACAAGTTGTGGAAGGGGAACTGTTTTTTTCATGGCTTTTTCTTGTTGTTGTTTTTAGTAGTCAGCAGTTGGCAAATGAAGACAAATGGAAGGAACTCACACAATACTTTGGAATCAATGATAGATTTGAATCACCTGTGGATAGCAGGGCTCCACAAAAGGTGACTGTTGATACAAAAGCAATGTCAACTTGTGCTTGACAGTGAAAGAACTCAGCCTTAACTGAGATAGGAATAAAACTGAGACTATTTGAAAGTGAGTAAATGATCAAGTCACTCTGAGGAAGGATAATTTTGTGCACACTTTTAATTAATTTCCTTTTAGATATCACATGAATCCTACTTGAATTGAAAGGTTGCTGTGCTTTTTTTAGACAGTATCCATTCTTGTTTCCTGTCTGGTTTTGTTTTCTATTATTGTGAGAGAGAGACTTGATATGCATTGTTTGACCTTTTTTTTTCCTTTTTTTTTAGTCATGTTTTAACTTTAAAATGTATTCAGTAAATCCTTTAGTTGACACCAGTGGCTATAGGAATTAGAGGGCCAAACCTACTGGATTTATAACACATTCTGTTCATAAATATTATTGCGTTACAAGTCATGTTTGAAATAACTGGTACAACATGATGTACAAGTTAAGAAGCTCATTCTATTGTGAGCTCCTCATATCACTGTTTGTTGTGTGGTTTTTCTAGTAAAAGCCTGTATGAGTTCTGTGACATCAAATGTTCAGTTAGCCTCCTTTTACGATAAATTTTGTGGTTTTCATTTGCCTAAAGTAAGTTGCCGCATGCGAGTCATGAGGTAATGTTTGCTTCTCTCTGAGTTCTTACTTTTGGTGGGTCTTTACTTGTCATTAAACTGCTCAGGATAGATCTGGAATGAGGCCCAAAGTGTTAAAATGCAGATGCTCTCCACGTAAGTTCAGAGATGTTATCACTAGTGGAACATATGTCTCATTAATTTCAAAAAAGACATCTAAGAGAACTGGTTATCATTGCAACTTCCAATGGTGCACTTTCTTTTTCCTCTTAACTTCTACCTGAATAATTGAAGTCCAGTATTTGCAGATCATTGGTTCTCAAGAATTGTTTGCTTTTATCTTTAAAAAAAGTGTATGTTAGGAAACTGTCAAGTGTGTTTTCTTTAGCATTGCTAATATTTAAAACCAATGAGGCTATAAGTTGTCTTTTGTTATGAAAGTGATTTTTTTTGTGAAATTTTGAATTCAGTGCCTACTGCTATGCTGCCTTTGTGCATTCCTTCAGAAGTTTCCAAATATGATTTTCAGTAAATATTTACTTTTTATTGTTACATTATTTGTAAATGTTGTAGTTAAACAAGTTATTCCAATGATCATAAAGGTTATTTTCTTATTTTCAGAGGTTAAATTCTGAAGCTTTTTCACTGTTTTCCATAGGACTGCTAGAATTTTTGATTTATTAGCGCAGTGGAGTGGCACCGTGCCAGAACTCAGTTTTTGGATAAAGATAAGATCTTAGAACTGTAACGATACAGTGGTAATTGCCATTCTTCATGTTACCTGACACATATATTTCACATTTTGTTTAGAAAGCTCTAGGGATGGAAGAGATAAGCCAGATCTTCAGATGAAATTTTATTGTGACAGGCATAAACTAGTCCGTGTAATTTTTTTAACCTACAGTATTATCTTGCACATAAGGTGGAACTAATGCAATGATTTGTGCTCAGGCAGCCTTTCAGTGAATTCTTAATTATACTGTCCATTACAATACATAGACAAAGTGCTTTGTGTTACATAGAAATTACAGGTTTATGCGGTGTCTTAAAATAAAGAATTCTATGAAAGAAGTATTTTTAGAAAGGAGATGCTCCCTTTAAACGTGTTATTTCCTTATTTGTCCTGAAGATATTTGCCTTTTTTTTTTTTCTAGTCTGGCCTTGAACTTAGCATAGAGAAGTCTGTGGCTGAAGGTGACATTGATAAGGCTGAGGAGCTGAGTGATAGATTAGCCATCCGTGAGGTAAGTGGGCTATTAACAACAGCTCTGAGGGAGCATTTCGTTCTGTGCATCTGTACAAAAAGTGTCGTAACTGAAATAGTGTTGCAGATTGTTTGGGGCATTTTTCCTATTTCCTAAGCAGATTTCTGTCAGTGATTGAAAGATTTTGCTGCTGGTCTAGTAATGCTTGGACAGCTGTAGGTATGTATAAGAATTAAAAATTCAACCATGAACGATCCCAAGCAACCTTGCTTTAAAGTCTTCATGCCGACTCCACGAGTTGGAGGAGTCAGTAACTAGTCATCTGTATTGAGCTTTTGATTCTTATGCATGTCGCAAGCCAAGAAAACAGGAGTAGGATATTCCTTTCCTGTCAGTTCCTGTGCCTCAGATTTTTCTTTACACTCCCTGGCCAATAAGCTTGAGAAGCCCAAAGAAAGATAGATATTTAGCAAGCTTACAGCAAGACATGCCCAAGTAAGGACAGGTATACCCAAACTTCTGCTTTTTTCCTATTCATGTGATCAGGAGTTGATGGCTGCAAGAATTCTGAAGAAGAATGGGAGTAGATGGATGTTAAATGTGTCGCTGTAGCCTGAGAATGATGTTTATAGAATGAATGGAGGTTTTTTATCTTTGTCATCATTTTTTAATATATAAGCACATATCTAAAAATCCAGGTGAGAGAAACTCCCATTTTTTTCAGGATGTTGTCTTGTTGGTTGGTGTATCTGAGTAATTTTACGAAGGCTGTGCTGCTCTTTGCTACAAAAATTGGACCCTTTAAATTTGTATGTAGTGCTGAGTCAATGCTTAACCTGGTGAGATATCTACCAGATACCTCTGGTAATTGCAATTTCATTTAAGAAGTAGTTGGTGCATGTATGGTAGGTGATAGCAGCTGAAATACGTAATTGAAATCCATGAAGGCTGTTGCACCCACTGGTACTTGTGTGCAAGGGGAAACAATGGAAAGGAAGAAAATTAGGATAAAAAGACAGTTGGAATAGTTTTGAAGCCAGGTATGAAAAAATAACTAAGTACATACTATTTGAGGTGTGTGGTGAAGCGATCATTTTTAAATATTCTGGATTTATTTTGGAAGTAAATGATGTAATTTTTGCTTTCATTCCTCTATCTTGCATATTCTTCCATCTTCATAGAGGTAATGGGAATTTTCTGTCCACTGTATATTTTAGCAAAATTCAAAGGTGTTAGAAAATAATCGAGACTGAGAAGTATTTGGGATTTGTCTGTCTCATACGAATATTTAAAATGCTTCCTAAGTACAGGGTTTCAAGCTACGCTTTAATGTAAAATTGCAGATTTAAATCTGTTTAATGCAATATCATACGATATTGTGATGGCTTTAAAAACAGATGGCTTTTGAAAGGAGAAATACAGCTCTTCAGGTTCTCTATGGAAGGTTTGGTAAAACTAACTGTTCCTCAGTGCATGTTCTTGCCAATCATTAAACTCCGAGGTTTAGTCACTCAGGGCAGTTTCTAATGACTGGACTCTTATCTGCCTTTTTGCCAGTGATCACAAAACTTCAGTCCACAAAGATAACAGCTATAGACAGTGGTAGGACTGTGTCCTGATGTTCCCTTTAAGTCAGACCAGCTTCTCACTGTGATACTGTTGTATTACCTTTCATGTGTACGACATGAAAAACACTTGCTGTTCTCCTTCACAAATGTCATTATCCCATCTCCTCGAAAGTGGTTGGAGTATCATAATCAATAAAACATACTGAGGTTCTAGTGCAAATTGTTTGACTATAAAAACAAATTAATGTAAGAAGTTTTGAGGTTTTTGTAATATTTATGATAAACTGTTATCTGATTTCGTTAGCCATGGGATTGTACAACATCTAGCATATCCCAGGTGCTACAGCAATGTATTATTATTTGTGGAACATTAGCTCCAAATTGTTGACTTTCAAATATTAGCATGTTGTAATTCTGAAAACAAAATGCTTGAAACATTATTAGCATTCACAGCCTTGACTTGGTTTTGGTTAAGTGGGTTTATCTGAATAAATAGTATGTTGAAAGAAGGAAAACTCAAATGACTCTGGCTTGATCTCATGAGGAGTTCTGTCGAGGCAGGATCCATGTGAATTCACTAGGGTTTTCTCTACTGTTGTAAAGATGTGCTACATTACCTGCTGCAAGATTCATTTTTCTTTGTGATTTTAAGACGCTGTGGTTTGTTTTTTGTGTTGGCTTTTTTATGCATCTTTTAAATAATCTTTGTTCTAAGGAAATCATTCTAACAGTGACTAATTATGATTCAGTGAAGAGCTATAGAAAAGGATTTGATTATGAAAGAAGCTGATTAAAAAATTGTTGTTTGGTATACAAGTACAATTAATAAAATATTACTTTCATATTGTATAGTATTGATTCAATCACTTTCCCTCTCTTTACAAATTAAAGAAATGCCCCTTTTAAAACTTATTTTACGTAATACTTCTTAGAAGTGAGTTAATTTTTGAAGTATGTGGCTATTTGTATCCCTCTCATTTCCAAATGTAATACAACGCTGTGAGCAAGCCAGGCATGGAACTATATAAAGTACACCACTTCTGAAGTCTAGAAAAATAAGTGGATGAATTATTGTTCTTTTATCTGAACTTCATCTTTTTATGTCTAATTTTCATTTTTCTTGAGCAGTGTTTCAGGGTTGGGGGCAGGGAGTGTATGAGAAACAGCTGCCTTCTGTTTGGGGTACAGCCCCCCTTGCAGCCATGTGAAAAATGTTCAGTGGGTAGGTGTTCTTTTTGAAATCAGGTGTATGGGGTTTTAATCGGCACCATTTGCTTTTGCAAGAAGCAGTGACTGGAACCTGCTGATAAAGCTTTTGCTTTGAGGCACAGATCCCAGAGTTCTTAAAGCCGTTTCCTGCCTTAATAAGTGAAACTAATTTTTGATGTATAACATTTATAAGCCTGTGAAACTGATAGGGCGGCTTCAGTATTTAGAAAAATGAAGCCAAAAATAAACAGATGATGAGAATAGGCAGTAAAAACATGTCCCAAAAAGCAAAGGAATGCCAAAATGATGCTGTCAATATGCTATCATTCTGACACAGTGAGAAAAGGTTTTTAAAATCAAATTCCTTTAAAATCAGTGATGATTTAGGCAGTATGCATAATCTAGCAGCTGTGAGTGGATCACTGAAATTTATATCCTAAAAACCTAAATGATACTGCTTCAAGGTTTTGGGTCGTTCGGTTTCCATGTGGTACTTGTTGCAGTTCTTTAAGGAAGATGTGATTGTAATGCTGTAAGTGAGCCTTTGGGCAATCTATTCTTTAATTATTATTTAATATATTATTTACTGCTTACTTCTGACAAATACGCACCAATGCCGATTTTAAAACAAAATTTGTTCGTCTAGTAGCATTCAAGGTTTTAGACTGAGAGTTAGAACTTGGATACCTTGTGCACGAGGCTGTGTGTTTACTAGGGACTGCGCGTGTGGATTCATATGTAGCTGTCCTGGCTTGGGCTGGGATGGAGTTAGGTTTGGTTTTACTAGCCAGGATAGCACTGTGTTTTTATTTAGTATGTGATTTGTTATGAGAATAATGTTGATAACTCTGGTGTTTTCACTTGTTGCAAAAGAAATCAAAGGACTTTTCAGCTTCCCGTGTTTTGCCACTGCGCTGGTGCACAACAAGGTGGGATGGAGCATGGCTGGACAAAAGGATCCATAACTCCTAGCTTAGGATTTACTCTTAGATTTAGGATTGAGGTCCAGTTAGCCAATGGAATATTCCATATCATGCAATGTATAATGAGGGTTGGTCGGGCGGCTCGCTCTCTTGGTGATCTCTCTTTAGGGCTCTTGCTCTTCTGGGATTGCAGTTTCGGGACTTCTCTGTTTCGGATCGCTTGCTGGGATGGGATGGGTGTTGGTCAACCGGTGGTGAGCAATTACACTGTACATCACTTGCTTGTATATATTATAATTTTATGTTATCATGTATTATAATAATTTTATTTTTATCATTATTACTTTTAATTTTATTTCAATTATTAAATTATTCTTATCTCAACCCACAAGTTTCCTTCCCTTTTCCCCCTCATTTCTCTTCCCCATTCTCCCAGGGGTGGAGGAGGGTGAGCAAGCAGCTGCGTAGTGTTTAGTGGCCAGCTGGGTCAAACCACGACAGTAGTTTTTGAGGTTAACTAAAAATGTTACCTCTTTTGTTTTTTGTTGGCACTTGCATTTCTGTTTTAAGAAAAAAATGAATTGTACTTATGTGGTGATGATATTCAGTCTAATCTCTTGCCATACCTCACTGCAAAGTATTACCCCTTGTCTCCTGTTGTCATCCTAGTTTATGGACTAGAAAAGTGATTGCTGTTAGTTTGGGAGTTATCAGGGTAGCAGATCTTGGACTGTAGCATCCTTGGCTGTCCTCACAGCATGTTCTCTTGTGGGGTGTTCTGCTTCACTACGAGTTCTAGTGATCCTGAAATTCTTGATTGCATTATTTTATATGAGTGAAATTATTCCTGAAAGAATATGGACATGTCTACATTATGTTGTGCAGAATAATTTAGGCCATCAGTAACTCTGCTTCTTGAGCTAGACTGCTTCTGGAACCCAGTCTAGGTTGAGCATCTCAGTGCTGTGATGCAGTTATAGATTATAAGATCAGCAGTTCTTTGATAAATTTGTGTTGAGCATCAATATAATGCAGGTGGTTCCTGCTGCTTGGTCCTAATTCACTGTGGATTTTTAAACACACTTGGACTGAATTATTTCTTTAATACCTGCAACATAGTACTGTTAGTATTAAATAACTAGCAATTCATTGCAGTGTGCATGGTATAATGTGCACAGTTAAGGTTTATTATTGTAATTCAGTTGCTGTCTTTGTTACAACATTCTAGGGCTTTCAGCATTGGCAGAGAGTCCTTCATGTTTTAAGGTTCTGCTGTTCAAATGCAGAATGGCATACTTAAAGCTATTGTTCAAACACTGCATTTAATGATGACTCGTTT